ATTAAATTCTTTTTGCAATTATTATTATTATTTTGTATTTACTCTGGTTTACTTAGGGTTTTATCCTCCTATCGTATTTACAACACCCCCCCCAATATTAAATCCTCCACAATGGGGGACTGGGGCTAGACTCTAATCTACTAATGACGACTAACAGCTAGGGGGCCTGGGGGCGGAGCCCCCAGCGAGCCAAAGGCGAGTTCTGTATATACTTTGTTGGAATAATGAAATAATTCATTCATTCATTCATTCAAATACAATTTTAAAAATTATCTTGGTATTTTACTTGGGGTAATGAAGTTATGTAGGCTAGTGTAATTCTCGGTTCATCAAGGTTCTACTGAATTATGTTTGGCAGTGAATAAGTGTAGAATGAAATTTATAAATTCAGGGATACATACCTTTTACAGAGTTATAAAGCCTAATTGCCCTAATTAACTTGCCACAACATCAAATCTAGAGCCCAGCTTAGTGCATTAGTGATGTTTTCTAAACTTGGCAAACCCGCAGAATGCCACTTTAGGCCAATAATCCGTTCCAAAAACGTAAGGAAATACAATGTGAAAAAAAAACTTGAGATAGAACTCCTTGTCTTGTGAGAACCAGGAAACAACATAAAACATAACCTCAAGTAAACAAGCCCAAACGTTTTGACATCAGTCCTGCTAAGTGTTGTGTGAAGATTTTGGCTTCTAGTGTACTAATTCAAGCAACCAACTTTTGAAAATAGATGTTGTGAATTGTGATTTTCAAGAGAGAAAAAACTGTGGACGTGGCTAATTTGAAATTCTATGATTCAAAATCGTCATTTAAGTTTATTTACACAGCTTTACAGTGTTTTATAGGTTAAAAATGCATATGCAGCTTATTATTAACCGCGCCGAACTATCCGAATCCGAAAATATCCAATCCGAAATGAAATTTCACTATCCGCACACCTCTATCGACACGTGTGATTATACCCACAGTCTCCAGTCTTTCAAGTTCCTTCTCTACTTTTTCTTGTAATGCATATTGGCATGTGTCTCGGTTTGATGTTAATTGGCTGGGTTTCGTCTTTGACATTAACCCTAGAGCTGGCAGTCATTTTACTCTGTAGTGGCAAGGGTTTTTTAGGCGCCGCGCAACCATTTTTTAAAACACTTTAAAAAATATATAAATAACCCAGAAAACACATTATATTATATATAATTTTTTTCAGCAAAAAACAAGGAATATTATTATACAAATTTTAGATATGAAATTTTAATTCACAAAAAAGATTTTTTAGTATATTTACTAAGCGGAAACTTTTTATATGTATATGCATATATTATTCCGTAATATAACACAAATCAGTGAACTAAAAAAAAAATTTCAACCGAAACTAACCAAACACAACACAAAATAAACAACAGACGCTGGTAATAAGCGATTGAGTCACCATGACAATGTCGTCAGCTGATGCTTTATTTTCATAGAGTTTTAAGTTTTCCCAAAGGCGTATAAATAGTTGAAATGCACATCAATTGACAGATTATTCATTTCTGAACCGAATAAATACTATATTAAGTGATTTTTTTTTCATTTTCGTGAAAAAATCGGCGATTTCCGTTACGCCCGATATCGGGCGCTGCCGTTTCGGCCGCGGCGTAAATCGCCCGATATCGGGCGCATGCCAGCTCGAGGGTTAAAATTACCCTTTTCGTTTGGTATTTTCCCAATGCCTTCTTTGAAAATTTCTTCGTATCGAATCATCAAATCATCTAGTTCTTGAATGTTTTCGTTTTCTTCACTCGAATTCAATGAATGTATGTCAGCTGCATCAAGTCGAATGTCTCTTAGCCATTCTCTTCCGAATATAGAGTCTACACACTTGTTAACAATGTACAGTTTTCCAACAAAACTTTGATCTTTAAATACTGAACATTTACAAAAACAACTCCTCTTGGATTGATTATTTCCCCAGTGTATGTCTTGAGTTGAACATTTGTCTTAAAAATCCTTTTTGGAGAGTTTAAAAGCCTAAATGTATCATATGATACAATGCTAAGAGCCGCTCCTGTATCTAATTCCATTGTCATGAGTCGAGCGTCGATTGTCTTTTACCTCGAGCATAAACTTGTCATTTGATTTTGAATTAAGTTGGTAAATTTCATGAGTGTCATCGCTTGTATTTTCTGCGATTTCATCTGATGGTTTTACTTCTTTGTTTGGTTTCCTTAGACATACCCTTGCTAAGTGACCAAAACGTTTACAAGAGTTGCATTCTGCATTTTTGAACTTACATTGATGTGCTCTATGTGAATCATCACCACATCTATAGCATTTGTTCCTCAGTTTCTCCAAACGAGAATGATACTCAGAGAGTTGTTTACTTGACTTACTATCTGGTTGTTTGTTCTTGCTCGATACTTGGTGTACTTCCTCTTGATTTTTATTTGTCTTTAGTTGAGCATTAGCGTAAGCTTTTACAGATTCATTACATAATTGGATACGTGTTGTAAATTTGTGCTGACGAGCCCAAATACTGGGTTTTGGTTCTAGTTGAGCCATGTTGAATGTGAACATGTGAATCAATTCCTCATATGGCTTGTTATGTGGGTCATCTGGTATGCAAAGATTGTATAGCTGTTCATGTATTTGTGGGGTGATTGCGTGTAAAAATAAATCCACTTTGACTTTTGGACTTAAGTTTCCTTGTAATTTTGTGTAGTTTTCAAAGCGTCGAGTAAAGTTTTGAAAACTTTCCTCTGGTGTACACGGCTGGAAAGGAATATTAGATACATTTTGAGATGTTGCAGAAGCAGACATTGCTGCATGTGTAATGTACTTTTTCTTTTCTGCTTCAAGGAATATTCGTATCCCTCTATATATTTCTTCTAACTGCCATCGAATTTCTAATTCACTTTCTACTGAATCTGTGTGAAGTTCAATATTTGACTGTGTAACTTCAATTTCAGTCCATATTGCTAAAAGTTTATCTGAGTAGTAAGTGCATCATGTATCTTGAGAATGTTCACATGTACGTAAATCATCCTTGAGTTTGTTCAAGCGTAGTTCTAGTAGTTTCCTTTTCTTTAGATATAGGTCAAATTCTTTTCTACTTACCATTTTACTCGTCGCCAATGTTGATTCCACTAATTTTACTAATAAAAGTTCACATTTTGTATAAGAAAATAGAAAGTAAGTTTTTATTAAATCACAATCTGTAAGTAAACATAAACAATTCAACAAGTAAACAAAATAATAATTTGAACACATGTTAGAAATAAAATGAAAATAAAACATATGTAACAAGACCAAAACATATAAGTTAACTAGCTGTAACCCGCGGGCTTTGCCCCGTTTAACTTCTTAATTTTCAAGATTATCTCGTTCGCATGGCTCAATCACGTCCTGGTTGAAGTTTGTTCGCTACGCTCACTCACCTTTAGGTTGGAGCTCGTTCGCTACGCTCACTCACCTTTAGGTTGGAGCTCGTTCGCTGCGCTCACTTGCCTTCAGGTTAGCTCGTTCGCTACGCTAACTCGCCTCCAGGTTGAAGTTCGTTCGCTACGCTCACTCACCTTTTGGTTGCAAATTAGCTGTTGTCATAAATGTAAAAGAAATAATAGTGCTGCACCCTGTTGGTAATTTTTGTAACTTTAATGCTATTGAACATCACAGAACAGAACCAACTTGTTTAATTGAAACAGCTGTTAAGATTCATTAATTTCATTTCTCATAAGGTTAACATGGGAAACTCCAGAGCCACTGGGGCGGAGCCCGAAAGGATTTTCGAAATAAGAATATGCCTATATGTTAATCGGGAATGTGAGCTATCATCATGCCAAATTTCAGCCCAATCCGAACAGTATTTTTCGCGTTCACTTGTCACAAACATACATCCATACATCCATACATCCATCCATACATCCATACATCCAAACTTTCTCATTTATAATATTAGTAGGATGTAACTAGAACTGCTGGAATACATCTTTAATTGAAGTAAAAAATCCAAAAAAACCAAATTTATATTTTTTTGTTAAGTAATACATTAGATAAATTAATAACGATGATTGATGACAAATATGTGCTTGCATAGCTTTATTTTAAGACAAAAATTATGAAAATCGGGCTGGTAGAAGAGCCAAACAAAATAGAAAAAAAACCAAATTTAACTCCCATAAAAAATGTAAAGGGACGCATTTTTTGCATAACTCAAAATATACGTCAAAATGAATGCTGATGATTGATGGCAAATCTGTGGTGCGTCCATACCTTTAGATTAAGGCCAAAATTATGAAAATCGGTCGGGTAGAAGACCTTTAACCCGACTCGGGAAAAAAACCAATAATTTTTATAGATGGCAATAATTGGTTTACCAGTATGCATAATCTAAACATACAAAACATGTGTTAATAATTTAACAGCTTATTGTTATATTGTTATTTAATTGATTTTTCTTTTGATTAAATGTTGTTGTTAACAATTTGCATTTGTGTTTAAAGTGAGTTCATTATGTTAAGTATGCGATTCTAATGTTGTGTGCTTAATCTGTACCATAAATGTTAGTGAGTAAAGTGGTGTATGGATTTCACAACCATTATTTTACTAGAGGCCGTTGTATTTAACCACAACGGGCTCTGATGCTAGTACATTAGACATTCCATCCCCATGTTAAAGTTGTAGCCAGATTTTTAATAACATTTGTATTAGTTGATGTGAGCCACCTACAGATTGCGCTGATCTAAATTACTGATTTCTGCCGATTACATGATGGTTTTTACCAAGTCAAACAAATGTAATGACTTATTATGAGCTATAGCAACTGTTGTGACCCAGCAACTATGTCAGTAAAAAAAATAAGGTACAAAATAGAGTTTTATACACTAGCACAATCTGTGACTGGCTCACACAACTACATTATTTTTTAGTAAAAAATTGGCGACAGCTGATCCACATAGATGGGATGTCTTCATGATAAAATAAAGAGAAAAAAATTCAAAAGAAATTAACAGAGAAAATTTACTTACTGGTAGATTTCTGTGTCTTCTTTGTTATATGAATAACAATTTTCAAAGATTAAAAGAGCATCTGCCAGGACTTCGCCATTGGTGCTGTACTCCAACATGTTCAGTTTGTGTTTCACAGTTCCAAAGTCCATCGGATGCTTTATAATCTTGTGATAATCCTCCACCTAAACATAAAAATCCTTAAGATTTCAAGAAACCTAAACACAATTGTTCCTAATAACCTTTTAGTAATGATGGCTTTAGGCCTTAGGCCAGGGGTTTTTAAGGATTTTGCAATGGATGGATAGGTTAAACAATATAGATACAATAAAGGTTTTTGAATAAATTAGTGGCAACATGGCGGCCAGTAGTAAGGTGGACAATAAGTGTGGTGCATGTTCAACCAAAGTTACCAATCGTACGGGTGGAATGCATTCTAAGGGCGTTTGTGGAAGATGGTTTCAACTTAAATGCTGTGATATTTCAAGAGAAGAGTGTGTACATTTTGAAGACTTATGTGAAAAGTCGTTTTGGTTCTGCACTTGCTGCAGCAATGAAGTTAGGACAGGGTGTATACTATTTTATTAAAGTGAAATTCCAGGTTTTTTCCAGGTTTTTCCTGGTTTTTCGAAGTTTTTCCAGGTTCCCGCGTCTTTGTTTGGTTCCACTTAAACTATAATCAATTTAAGACTTGCAGCTGAAGTATACAATATAAACTTACATCAAATTTGTTTCAAAGTCCAGTGAGCTAGTGTTGAAAAAGTAATAATCCTTATTATAGTATTCATTTTCATTATCATCATTACTTAAGGCCACGGAAACATCTTCTCTCTCGATAGCAGCAAAATCCTGAATATTATCTTCATTTTTTATGAACACATTATCAACGGCGGCGAAATCCTGAATATATTTCCTGCGGTCGTGTGGTCGCTTCCCACAGTGACATAAACGTCATCACAGTCTTACGTTATCATAGAAAAATCCTGGACGTCTCCCGCGGTATGTATACATCATCGACGTCTCTCGCGATCACGGAAACGTAATCATCGTCATCCACGATCGCGGCAAAATCACGAAAATCTTCCGCGGCCTTGTGGACATCATCATTGACTCCCGCGGTCACGTAAACGTCATCGTCATCGACCGCGATCACGGCAAAATAACGAAAATGTTCCGAGGCTGTGTAGACACCATCATTGACTCCCGCGGTCACGGGAACGTCATCGTTGTCGTCCGCGATCTCGGCAAAATCATGAATATTTCCCGCGGCAGTGTAAACATCATCGTTGATCCCGCGGCCACGTAAACGTCATCGTCGTTGTTCGCGATCTCGGCAAAATCATGAATATTTCCTGCGGCCGTGTAGACATCATCATAGCTTCCCGCAGTCACGGAAACGTCATCGTCCGCGATCTCGGTAAAATCATGAATATTTCCCGCGGCCGTGTCTACTCCCGCGGTCACGGAAACGTCTTCGTCGTCCTCCACGATCTCGCCAAAATAATGAATATTTCCCGTGGCGGTGTAAACATCATCGTTGATCTCGCGGTCACGGAAACGTCATCGTCGTTTCCCGCGGTCACGGAAACCTCATCGTCGTCGGCCGAAATCACGGCAAAATCATGAGCATATCACGCGGCCGTGTAGAAATCATTATCGTCGTCTTTCGCGGTCACGGCAAATCACAAAAATCTTCCGCGGCCGTGTATACATCATCATTGCCTCTCGCAGATATGGAAACGTCATCGCCATCGTCCACGGTCACGGAAACGTCATCGTCGTGGTCCGCGATCTCGGCAAAATCATGAATATTTCCCGCGGCAGTGTATACATCATCGTTGATACCGCGGTCACGTTAACGTCATCGTCGTCTCCCGCGGTCACTGAAACGTCATCATCGTCTCCCGCGGTCACGGAAACGTCATCGTCGTCGGCCGCTATCGCGGCAAAATCATGAGAATTTCACGCGGCCGTGTAGAAATCATCATCGTCATCTTTCGCGGTCACGGCAAATCATGAAAATCTTCCACGGCCGTGTAGACATCATCATTGACTCCAGCGGTTAGGGAAACGTAATCGTCGAAGTACGCGATCGCGGTAAAATCATGAATATTTACCGCAGCCATGTAAACATCATCGTCGTCTCCCACGGTCACGGAATCGTCATCGTTGTCGTCCGCAATCGCGGCAAACCATGAACATTTCCTGCGGACGTGTAGATGTCATTGTCGTATCCCGCGATCACTGAAACGTCATCGTCGTCTCCCGCGGTCATGAAAACGTCATCGTCGTCGCCCGCAATCGCGGCAAGACGTATTTGACGACTACAATCTTCTATCGGGGCTAAAATAAAAATCCCGGCTTTTTCCCGGTTTTTTCCAGGTCCCTTCAAATTCAAGGTTATTTCCCGGTTCTCCCGGTTGGTATACACCCTGTAGGACATGATTGAATAACACAAACAAGCTAAGTTGAACTTAGGCAAGTGTGAGAGTGTTGACATTAAAGTAGTGTTGGATAAAATTGAGAAAATTAACGTGTTTTATTACAATTTAGATAAACATATCAACTTTATTGAGAAATCTAAGGACAACCTAGTCAATCCAGCGAGTTAACAAGTGGTTCTAATGTTTTGAATGAAGAATCAAAAGTTAAGCGATAGGGGTGTGAAAAATTGTTGCGTTGTAGCAGTGAAAAATGTTCGATTTGAAGCAACGATTTGATTCAAAAGATTTTAGATTCGAATCAATGCAACTTGATTCGAAGCAATACAGCTTTTTATTCATAATTGTCAATGGATTGAAATAAAAATAATTAAAATTCTAAATTTACCAAATTTTTTGTGTAATGCAAATTTTTGTTGATGTGGTATTAGACCTATTCATACTTGACATATATGAACATTTTAACTGAAAAAATATTTATTTCAATCATATATTAAGAAGAACCTGTATTGCTGGAAATGTCAGTGAGCTGATTGCCTAGCCTATTTAATAATTTTTTCTTGCAGAATCATATTGTTAAGGCTACTTATTTTATAATATTTATTTTACAAATAAAGATATGTTTTGGTGTAAACAAATAAAAACATTTGTAAGAGTTATACTGAAACTTTCAATTGGTTTATATTGATAAACTGAGAGGATAGAATTAAACCTACAAACTACAAAGGTATACATAGCTTCAGACCTACAAAAATACTAAATTTATCAGTCTAAAACATCAGTCTTGCTAGTTAAGTATGAAGTAAATATTTTTCAGACTTGTGTTATTTTTAGAATGATTTTGGAGTGACTTGTTTTGGCTATGTTTACAGTAGTTAAACATGTCTCAATCTGCTTACACTTAACAAAACTTTTCATAATTTGCAAATTTTTACAAACAAATTAAAAAACAATTAAAGCAATATTTTACACAGTAGAACCCCTTTAATCCGAACTAATTGGGACCGGGGGTAGTTCGGACTATTAGTTCGGATTACAGAACATATTGTTGTTTTTACATAACAATAGCTAGGGAAAGTGAAAAATGCTTTATAAAGTAAAATACAGTGTTTATTTAATACAGTAGTAAACATAGGGAATAAACAGTACTGTACATTACAATTTAAATAATTATGGTTCGTATATCAATAAATACAGTATACAATAAAGAACTACTGTACTGTGTATAGAGTACAGCAATGAGGCGTTCGGATAAGTGGACGTTCGGATAACAGGGGTTTGGATAAAAGAGGTTCAACTGTACCAAAAATTAATTAAAAAAACGCTTCGCAAAGGCATCAACACACTCCTGTATTGTGGGTATTGCATTGACTTTCTGCATGCGTTTTTCGTATCCAGGTACTGATTCCCCCATGAATAAAATAGTTTTTTTACTACCACTGAATCAAATCGGAATTTCGATGCATTTACTATGCATCGCACACCCCTAATAAATTGCAAATGTTTCACAATTCATAAATAAATACTGCTCCGGTTATAAAAAAATAGCGTGTTACTAAAAGTATTGTATCAAAATAGTTTATATCTGAATTTAATGCACTGTTATTCCATGTAGTAGTCCCCGAGCAACCTAGTTATCTTTAATAGTCCCCGAGCAACGGCAGTTTAAAATCCCAGCTTTTTTTCAGACACCCTATAGGTATACATACATCAGCCTTTGTGACAGGTTTGAGGAAGGGCCAAGCATCCTCATGATGCATCAGCTGCTCCAAGATCTCTTGCAGAGTGGCGTTGTCCAAGGGAAGATCCTTGGATGCCGATGTATTGGAGCTTTGTTGCAACAACTCCGCCTCCAGAGAGCGACGTGAACGCCGACGTCCTTCTACTTCCTTCTCCCTATCACCTGAAATGAGATCATGATTCATCGATATCTTTAATGTTAGGAAAAATAATTAATGAATTATCTTGTTGGCCGAGAAGATGTCGTGCTCGTCTGCTAATCTAAGATTGCTGGATAGAACCCACAACCAAAAATATGCAGGATTTGAAAATTGAACTATATAAAAGTAAAAATTGAAGGAATTTATAAAAAACGACTCAATCAGACAAAGTGAAATAATTAATTATCGAATGTAGCCTATACCGTTAAACGATTTGTAAATATAAAATAATATGTAAGAGTGAATAGCCAGTGAAGGGATGAACCATAAGTGTTACAGGGAAAAAATAAAAATAGATAATTGAGAATTAGATAATTGATCAGTGACAGTGACTTGTTAAAATAAAATGAACCTACTCAAGACAGTGTTTATAGAATATAAGATATAGTTTTAAGTTTTTCAACCACACGTGTTTTACAACACATGGTTGAATATTATTTGTAAAAAAAAATGTTTTATGTGAATAAAGATTTTTGAACTGAACTGAACTGAACACCCAAGCAGGTGTCATTCTCGATTTAGATACTATTTTTCACTGAGTAACCAATCTAATTATGCTAAGTAACAAAACATTGACATTATAGTAACAAGACCAGAGTTTGGACTGTTCCCTCACAAAAATAAAAATAAACTAGTGGCTTGTAGGGACATAAGTCCCTAAAGCGCTTAAATGTAAAACAAATTATTGTAAGAATTATATTATCTATGTGTCAGAATATATAATATCCCTGTACAACATATCTTTTGTGGAAAAAAGTGAATAGGGTAGTAATTTATTCAGTTACTAAACAATATTTACTATATTGTATTTATATATATATCCTCAACAGGGTTAAAAAAATAATCATATATATTAAAACGGACAGGGGTTTTTTTTATTAATTATTAACCACTTGACGGATTTTCATGATTTTTGTGTTGAGAGAAAGATAATTTTGAGAACTAGGAAATGTTGAAGCCATTATTTTAGTTTTGGATTCCAGTTTTTTAGAAATTAAGTTTGAATTTTTTTTATCTAGCAGCCGACGCTAACATTCTAAACTAGATTTTGGTATGATATAAATTGCTTAACACAAACAAACAAACACACACAACAACAACGCAACAATGTTTTCAGCTGTAAACATTTGAAGCGTTTTGTGACACAAATTCTGGATTTGGATAAAAATAAAAAGACATAAGTAGAGTTGACTTATTTATAGTATGTGTAATGCCATAATCATTGATACATTCAATTCTTCGATAAGAGAATGACAGATTAATTAAATATACATAGTAAAAACCTAGATAAAATTCCTTAGTAAGAATCCTTTTGTATCTTCTGTTTATTTTAGTGCAATATAATTTGTTTTAACTAACAGCTGGATTGATATAAAAATATTCTATAGAATTATGAGGTTATTTTATTTACTCTATGATTTTGTCATTGATTTTAGGAAATAAGTAAGACCATTGCAAGAAAAAGTATTAATGATAATTGTTTTTGTGTTGATGTCTTAATCCCCATTCCTACAAAAAACAACTATCTAATTTCATATATAGGCTAGTTCAGCGTAAACAAAATGTTCAACAAACAATCATCGTCATTCGGCAGAGCTAGCAAGAGGTTTACTGACTACCACTACTTTCATTTTCCTACAACAGTCAAACAATACGTCTCGATAACGATACGGTAAGTTAAACAAAATAAAGCATTGAATGAATCTATCGAGTTACATTAGTCGATAGTCAACAAGGGAGTCTCGTGATTAGTAAATTATAGGCAGATGATTCTTGAATATAAAGTAGGTACCGGTACAGTGATAGATTTAGTTTGAACTGCCAATCAAAATGAGCTATTATTGCATTATTTTTTTTTCATTTTAATCGGTATTGGTTTTTAGTTTTAGAAACCGATATGTTACTCCAAGGAACATCGACGCATCGTAATCGAATGATACAATCTCATTGGGTCTTGGCAGAAAGATGGGTTACACTTCAGTTGAAACTTCAATCGCGGTGTTGCCAGATGGACAATAATTTTTGTACAACTGTGGTAGTGGCATAATGGTGTAATGATAAATATGGCAACGTCAGCCCTGCAAAACAGCTGTCTAATGGGGAAAACAAAGCAGATGAAGCAAAATGAGCAGTCAGTCAGCAGACCAACTAGGACTAGAAACAACTGAGAGAGAGAGAGAGAGAGAGAGAGAGAGAGAGAGAGAGAGAGAGAGAGAGAGAGAGAGAGAGAGAGAAAGAGAGAGAGGGGGGGAGAGAGCCTAGAGAGAGTGAGAGAGACAGATGTTGCAACAACAAAACATAATGGAATAATCGAATGCAGTGAAATGTAAACGTCAGTTTTGAATGTTTTTACTTTGAAGTGAATTTGAAACTTGCAATTTTAATCTGGTGGCAGAAACATGACAACTACAGTTTAAAGTTGATTTTGTAGCTTAACCTAGAAAGTGGTGATTAAAGGCCAATAGGCTACACCGGCTGCAGTGATATGTGTTTTAATTTTAAATTAATAATTTCATGTGGGATTTTATTTAAAGATAATAGGCTTACTACGATTTTGTTTGAAATTTTTTTCTGCAAAATGCTACAAACTCTCAGACAACTGTGGCAAAAATACTATTCTTTAAGCATTTAAAAATTCCATTATATTAGGTACATGTTTTAACATTCTTCAATTATATTTATAGCTAATTTGCTATAGCCTGCAAAAACAATGTAGGCTGGCATTTTAGAGTTTTTAATAGCAATGAGGTAAAAATGCTACCGCAGCTTAACCCTTCCCGGACGGGCGAAATCGTGACATAGAACGGGGAAAGATTAAAGGAAAAAATAAAAATTAAATTTCCTTATTTGTGTTTTGTTATACAAGTATACATAAAATAAACACAATGGAACACTTCATACTGTCAAAATAATTTTTTACTCGTTTTTAACTATGCGGATATATCCGCTACCCGTCCGCGGATAAGTAGAAAAGCAGCGGATATCCGTCACCCGTCTTTGAAGATATGACCATGACAACGTTAGGCAATAAATAAAGAACAATATGTAGACAGCGTAGTGTTGAGCACGAAAAGTCGAGGGGGGAGCGTAGGAGAGGTGGGTGGTGCGCGGGAGAGGGGGAGGCGCGGAGAGAGGGGGGAGTGCGGGAGAGAGCGCACCCATGGAGAGAGCAGGAAAGTGGCGCCTTGGTACCGTGAAACATCTGGTTACTGCTCAAGCACCTGCCAGTCTGTCTGCAGAAAAGGCGGATATATTCGCTTCCCATCCGGAACATCAAAAACCATAAGCGGATATATCCGCCACCCGTCCTTTATCGCCAAAGAATTAGGCGGATATATCCGTCACCCATCCGTGAAGGGTTAAACCCTGGGCTTAGGACTACTTAACGCGCAACTACTTGACTCGACTAGATACTCGAGTTTTTACTCAAATTATTCGACTCAAATTGAAAAATCACTACTCGCCCACCCCTAGTATCGAGTACAATGAAGCGAAGTATTGAGTATCGGCAATTCTTCGCTACCAATGGTATCGAAGGTATCGAGGTATCGAGAATCGGAATCGGCCCATCCCTACTTTATTGTAAAAGGTTACACCTGTAACAGAAATATTCATAAGACAAAGAAAATTTAATCATAGAATTACCTTCCCAAGAGTTTGTACGCAGTTGCTTGGCGAACTGAGATATCTTGGCAGTGGCTGCCTTGGAACTTCTTCTTCTACTTGTACGCTCTCCATCTGATGAAGGACTTGTCTCCTCTGAACATCACAATCAAGTCATTGACTCAGAATATTGCAAGTAGATTACTGTACTTATCCTAAAGTCTGAAGCATGTTTTGATGTAGGTTTCATGTTGGCTGCGTTTGATTGTGCATATGCCAGCTAAATTTTCTTTCACATTTTAGGGAATATTTTATAATTTGTTCATTTCTCCTTGGTCATAATAAAAGAGTACAAGCAGAAGTTTACAAATTGTTAAGTTGAGTTAAAACAGTTTAAAAGATGGTTAAAACAACTTGGAACACGTAGTAAACAAAAACTTTAACAACTAGACAAATCAAACCCAAAAATTGGCTTTTGCTGATCCGTAAAGATGATTAATCTATAAGAAAAGATGTATCAAGACCAACGTTTATTGAGTCCCATACCGATTTTGAATAATCCATTCTCAATGCTCGATACCAATTAGTGCTGGGTCGGTACTTAACACATTCGCTGCGGCACGTCAAATGGCGGGCATATCCCCAGTGCGGCGCAGCCCTCAGCGTCGAACAAGCCCGATTGCCGCGTGTAATTGGCTTTCCAATTTTGGTCTGACGAATTGCAAATAACGTGCGGTGATGTCCTGCTTTACAACGAGAGTCGACATAGTTCGCTAAACACCCAGAGATAACAGCACTGCTTGGAACGTAGCCGGTCCCATTGGAATTGTATTGCCAAATGGAGGGAAAAAGACGGGACAAAAAGTAGATTTTTGAGATTGCCAGATGGGGATTTTACGGGGAAATTTACTACCAATCTAAGAAACAATTTACAAATTTCCAAAGTTTAGTCTAAGAAACAAACATTTAAATGTACATAAAAAAGTCCAAACACGACTAAACACAAGCGCAAACTAACATAAAGGCAAGCGCGAACTTAAAAATCCGCAAAAAATTTGAGCGCGCCCGAACGAAGGAGCGGCGGCAAAAACAGATTTCTATTGTATTTACAGACCATGCTCAGCAAGTAGTAACGTTCTCCGTCAAACACTAGACTCATACTGGCTGCTTTTGTTTAACAAGGTTGGATGGCTCGGACCCGGGACATGCGCATGCGCAGGACGCTACGTGTGTCCCGAATCCGAGCCACCAACAGCGAATGTGTTAACGTCAAATGTTGGTTCCATAGTTAGAGAATCTACGGCGACATGTCGGTACCAATACCTTCAGTACCAAGTTAATTGGTTATATTTTTATTTACTCAATTACAAAATTCAAATTGTCAACCATGATGATTATTTTTCACTTAAGGCTATTTGAAAGGGCACATTTTTGTTAAATATTATCAATAGTAGTCTATAAGATGATGATTTCAGTGTTAGTTGGTTAAGTTGTCGTCACTATCATCAGCTGATAGAGTGATGCAAACATCAACACCATTTCTCAACCATCTTCAAGCAGATGACAGAATGGAAGCTTAATAAAGACTGGATCAAATAAATTATGTATTATTACACTGCCTTAAAACCAACCTTTCCTTATCTGAGGTTAATTATTAATAACATTAATAGTGATGGGTCGGTACCACTTTTTAAATGTTGGTACCAGTTTCTAACCAAAATCGGTTCTCATATCCGGTACCACATTTTAAATTAGGTTACTTAATTTTTTTTTTTTTTTTATATAGTAAGATAATTTAATATAGATAATTACAAGATAATTACAAATAAATCTAAATTTACAGATATTGCTAAAAATTTTGATTCTTTCAATAAATATGTTGGATGCCTGCTCCATCTTCGAATTCTCGAGCAGATCTCCATTTTTTTCGAGATCTTCTCAGGCACATACTTGTTGCCCTTAAAATTGAGCAAGTCAGTCTCGTTCTGATCCAATTAACTACCAGGCTGTAAGGCTTAACCCATTTTTCTGACAATCTCTCAGCTAGTGCTCTTATTAGTGTTTGAAAATCTTTGCCTAGGATTCCGCAGACTGATGTTATAAAAAAGGAGTGAAAGAGGCATTCCGGCTCTCACAGGCTGAAATATACTTTCTTTTCTTTTCTTCTTCTGCATTTTGTATGACATTGTCATGAGGTTTGGAAGCATATGAGGGAGCATCGGTGTCTACGACACGGATATCAAATAATGCCTCCCTCTGTGTCTCCCATACCCCTCTACATGCCAAGTCAGCTTTAATTGCAGGCCCGTTTGCATTTCTATTCTCTGCTATAAGGGGCTCTTTGATACAATTCCCCCATGCCTGTTCCATAATGTTTCCTAAAGCATCTCTAATTTCATTGTGTCGTTTGATAATAAGGCCACCTATAGGACATGTAAGGGCATGGTCTGTGTTAAATTCTTTCCCACAGCCATCACATTTGGTTGGTAAATGGATCGGTGTCCGACCATATCTCAGTGCCAGGGAATCCCTAAATTCTTGGGGTGACATGTCTAAATTTAATTTCTTCAATGGTACACAGGATAACCAGTTGCTATGTTTTGATTTAGGGTCAGCATTTCGTAGAATTACATTTTGCCTTTGTAGTGAAAAATATTTTAAATTTTCATCGACTCTTGACGATCGATTATCGATAACAAAAATGGCTTAGGAAATTTGTTAAACTAAGTTAATCGGGGCAAAAGCGCAAATTTTTAACTTAATTGTATTCAATTTTTTAAACAAAATATCCCTATTTCAATTTTTTAAACTGATAATTTTAAGGGATTAAGAAAATAAAACTCAGCCCTATTATTAGTAGGCCTACAAAAACACTTTAACAACCAACCAAACACATTCAAATCAAAACAATATATACCATGCCAGAAGTGTTAAATATAGGCCTATATGTTGAAATGATTCAATGCTAAACCAATAAATTTAACATAGGTTACTAACCTTGGAAACAAAAATAGCTTAGGAAATTTGTTAAACTAAGTTAATCGGGGCAAAAGCGCAAATTTTTAAAATTACAGGACTTTTGCAGGCGTGTCGGGTATTGCTAATATTATCGACTCTTGACGATCGATTATCGATACCAAAACCAATGTATAAAATAAGTATTGATACCAATACTAATGGTGGTATCGATAATCGACAAATCTCTATATATAAAGAAGATGTGTGGTAATATAAAGATAAATCTTTGTCAGATGAAACACCTTGTTAGTGAATTTGACCACTGCTAATTTTAAAAAAGTTGTTAATTTTAAACAATTTTTGTTCAGTTTATTTCTCATAATTTTTTCTCATGAGCCTGTAGGGGCAAAATATCAAGTTTCATGTGTTGTGATCTTTCTTTGTTCTTTCAACTACCTGGTACTCTTTTATTAGGTAAGTTAGATTTATAATAATGGGACAGGACAGCTGTTTGAATTATTGCCTCTGCATAAGAATGAAATTTTTCAAAACTTTACTTCAATGGAACTAAAACTATAATGAAATCAAGTTTTGTATGAATATTGGTTTTTGTAGGCCTAAGTACAATATTTTAATTTCAGGGTGCCCATTCTCTCTGACTAACAGTATTCTATTGTCAAGTATAAATTTTACAAGAAACTATATAGTGAAATCGGGCAAGTTTTTGTGAAAATCAAAAATATATTTTTTTTTCTTAGATGAGTTATTATTTTTTAACACTTTCTTTTAAATATAGGATTCAGTCAAGGCCGCACTAGCATACAGGCCGTGCTGCTACTTGTGTGACGTCACAACTGTAGGCGGTCCCGCGGCCGCTACACACACAGGTGCTTATACGTTTGTACTACTGCAGTTAGTTCCCACCATGATTTTAACCATTCAAATGAAGTCGTAATGTAATGCAATTTTGTAGTAATGTTCTATGTTAGTGAAGTGTAGTGATTAGCTAGTTTGTTACACTAAAAGAATTGTTTGTGCAGCGTTAGACATTTATCAGTTAGGCTGCTATTTCTTTCGAGCAGACGTTTTTATATAATTGTTTTCATTATCGGATATGTCCTAGTATTTTTTCATTCCTCATTTTGTATATTTAACCATACGATAGCATAGCAGTTTAATAAATAGTAGGACATATCCGATAATGAAAACAATTATATAAAAACGTCTGCTCGAAAGAAATAGCAGCCTAACTGATAAATGTCTAACGCTGCACAAACAATTCTTTTAGTGTAACAAACTAGCTAATCACTACACTTCACTAACATAGAACATTACTACAAAATTGCATTACATTACGACTTCATTTGAATGGTTAAAATCATGGTGGGAACTAACTGCAGTAGTACAAATTCTTTTTATGTTACAGTATTAAAAACACATGTACCAAACAGTGTTTTATATTGTAAGTAGGCTTATCTAGCTTTAGCTTTTTTGTACGTTTCTTTCCTTCCTCAATTATCCGTTATTTCCCCATTTTACTATAATTATTTAATAAAATATTATAGAATGTAGATAAGCATTTTTTAAACAATAGCTTTAGATCTTTACCACAAGAAGGCACACCTCAAGATTTGTGCCGTCGAGAACATAATACAATACTGACATGAGAACTTTTCTCAGACTTTTACATCTTAAGGGCCGCATTTCCATTTATTTCACCAATTATAACCTTAAAAAATACCTTTAAACCAGTAATCAATGCACTTATAATACGCTTAGAAGGATATTGTAAATTTCAACCATCTATCACGGTAAAATAATAAGAAAGTGACTGTGAATTGAGGAGAGTATTTGCTTATCACTTAACACAAATTTAGATTTACAACAGTTACATTAAAACTGTTTTAATAATTTACTGGTAACCCTCCTATGTAAGTAATTCCAACAACATCATTGTCAGAAATATCAACACTGTCCAACACAAGGTTTGTTCCCCTTCTGGTCCCTCAGTTTCTTCAACATTAAAACCCCCTTATCTTTAATTATTATTATAAAAACCTCCAAATTTTTAGCAGGATGGAGATATTAGGGGTCGCCGGATTTCTACCCCCGGATATTTACCCCCATGAAAAAACGCCTACGTCATTTTGACGTCACGAGGGGCGGGGCTTATACATGGTCGAGAAACAGCCCGCGAC